AAGTCCTCACCCCACCCCACCCACTCCCAGGGGGATGCCGGCAGCCCTGAGGGATTGAACCACTCACTGACTTCAACTCTTCCTGCATACTCATTTGGACATGGCATTCTTGGTCTGTAGATTTAGGTGGTCACATCCACTGGGATGACAGACACCAGGTACAGGTACGTATCAGGCCCTGTGACAGGGGTTTTACACATTCCCCATCTAAGAGGTCTGTGCATGCCTACCTGGTTAGTGGCAGATTGCAACGAGACCTCGTGGTTGTCGCGATTAGACATGCCCCTGTATGCCACTCAAGCCAGACCCTTGAAGCCCAAAGGAGAAGAAGTGTAGCAAGGGAGCCCTTCCTTTTCAAAGCCATTCCAGTTGTACTTTTTACTGCTGAGCTGGCAGACTTTGGACTGGGACAAGAGTGAGGGGTGGGGGCAGGGTGTTGCAGGACCCAGCCCCTGAATGTGACTTATAAGCCCCTGCTTCCTGGTCCCAGTGGGTTCCTTCCACCTTCAGCTGCATCCTCCCCCTTGCATCCACAGCTGTGTATCTGCATCAGCCTGTCGTTCCCTGCTTACAGGTTTCGGTCCTACAGGGCCCTGGCTTTCCGGGCAGCATTTGATGTGAATCGCCTTTACCACCCACTCCTTGGGGTGGACCCACCCCTGGCACCCAGGACTCCTTGTCTCCCAAGGACTGAGCCCTCTGGGCTCTCCTTCCTTCAAATCCACTCTCAGTTTTTACTTTTGTGTTGAGTGAGAGGGGCTAACCTCCTACTGCTTGCTGGGAATGGACTCTGCCTGGTGGGGAGCTGGCCGCCCGTTCATCTGGCTGCCATCTGTCTCTTCAGGTGTTATGTGATTCTCCGAGGGAGCAGCTGTGTGAGTGGAGATGCTCTCAGTGGTGGAGAATGGACTGGACCCCCGGGCTGCCATCCCGGTAGGTGGGCAAGAGAGGATCAAGGGTGGGGAAGGGCTGCAGGGGACGGTCATTTCTTTGGCTTGGTTCACTTCGAAATGAATGGGCACTGCCCTGCAAGAGAGGCCAGGTAGAGGAAAAAGTTACAACACAAGCAGGCTTCGAGGAGACCCTGTCCTTTCTAGATCACCTTATTGGTGGTAAGATGAGAATTTACAAAAAGCAGTGGCAATTTAAGATCAGTTACCTGAAGACTAAGGATTTCCATTCAGCCCTGTGCCCTTAGGCCATGATTTGGTCACAGTCTGGCCAGTGCATTCAATTGGTGGGAAACAGATATTCCCAGGGACTAGTTTGTTGTTTCAGTAATGGGGGTAAGCTGGTTAACTTACATGTATCTGAACATTTACCATTTTCTAGGATTTTCTAAATGTAATTATTTGTGACCAGTTCACCAGAGCCCCCTAGGACTCTCTCTTGGAGAGCCCTTTGCACCCTCCTGGGATGTCTCAGGCACTCTGCGGATGGAGCTGTCGGTTCCCTTGGAGAGACAGAAAGTCAGGTAGCTTTGGGGATGGTCCTTTAGCAGCATCCTGAGGTCACTTTCTGGGAGAGGCCAGGATTTCCCTTTCCTCCTCACTGCTGCTTCCCAGCTCAGAGAACTCTCTGCTTGAAAGGAACTGTAGCCCCCAGAGCCGTGCCTTTCCCCTCTTGGCCACAGGAGAGTCCAGCTCCACCTGTCCCCCAGCTGGCTTTCATGCAGAGGCTCTTCCCTCCCCTCCACACCCCCACTGTACCACCCCAGCACCGGCTGAATCCCGCCCCAGGACCCTCCAGAGCTAGGGCAGAGCCCTGGCCAACTCAGCCATTTAACAGCAGCTGCGTAAACTGACTCCATGAGGGTATGTGTTTCTTGGGGGTATGCCGTATTTCTCTCTGTATACCCTAACGCAACACCTGGTAGGCACAGTTGAACGAAGTGTGTTATGTACTTTTTTTAGATAATGTACTAATAACGTCTTGCATTGAAAAGGACATTTAACATTGGACTTTTTCAAGATTAAAACCTTTTGAGCTTCAAAGGATACTATTAAGAAAATGAAAAGACAACCCACAAAATGGGAGATAACATTTGCAAATCAAATATCTGATAAGGGTCTAGTATCCAGAACATATAAAGAACACTTAGAACTCAATAAAAAGACAAATCCTCCAGTTATAAAATGGGTAAAGGATTTGAATAGGCACAGAAGATATACACATGACCAGTAAAGACACTCATTATCATTACACATCAGGGAAATGCACATCAAAGCCACAGTGAGCCACTACTTCACACCCACTAGGATGGCTGTCATAAAAAGTCAGTAACTAGTGCTGGCAACAATGTGGGGAGACTGGGACTCATATTGCTGGTGGGAATGTAAAATAGTGCAGCCACTTTGGTTAACAGTTTGGCAGCTTCT